CCTCATGTGCGACTAAAAAATTTTAAATTTAACTCTTCTGGCGTGGCATTTTTTGCGGACCAGCAACTTTCCATTTGTCGAGTCACTGAAGTCGACACCTACAACTGACGTACCACGTAGCTGCACAATTTACTTCCGAACTTCGAGGGCCAGTATTTCACAGGGTTGGCTACATTGACTCTTTGCGATCTTGCTACGGCACGAAAAGTGCAAAAACGCATAATCGCACCGGCCCGCCTGGTGGTTCCAGCCTGGGTTTATGCGTTTTTGCCGTGCAGCGTTAGAGCGCTGCAACAGGCAGCAAAAACGCATATTGGAACGACTGGTAAATGCTCGCTTCGTGAAAAAATGACAAATGTAAATTTTTTGAAAAAAATGCAATTTCCAGTTCACTAAAAAGTGAAGTTATTGTTCGAGCGGCCGTTTGTCAAAAAATCCTTGTATGCAAATTAACTAACGTTCATTTACAAATACGACTGGGGTTCGGGTCCGGGTTGCGATGGATTTGTTAACGCTTTTTTGAGGAGCTGCTTAAGGCTTTGGTTGGGGTGCTCGACAGCTGAATTTAAAATCTTTAGCTCGCACGTACATAGATAATGTCCCTGCAAAGTTTCAGCTTTTTGCCTTGCCTGGTTCGCGAAGTCGTCTCCCGCCAAAATATTTTTTGGAGGGGCACGTAAGCAGGGTCTAGGCGCGTGTGGGGGAACTTCTTTAAACGGGAGGATAACACGCGGGGTAGGAACATATATCTAAAGTTTCAGCCTCTCAGCTTTCCTAGTTGCTGAGATGAAAGTGGGTGACAAAATGCACTTGTTTCTGAACACACACACACACAGCCTCTCGACAATATGCGTTTTTGCTGGCTGCAGCAGCGCTATAGCGCTGCATAAAAAAACTGTCGGAATCTCGGTGACTAGACCATCCATCCCATTCTAGTCACCAGTGCTGGCCTTATGCACGAAGCGCACAAACTAGTCTCTTATGGACTGTGCTGTCGGCGCAACCTCTCTGTCCCTCCTCTGTCCATCAGGGGCCTTTCGATGACACTGCAAAACAGAATCCGTCACGAGCTGCAAGCATAGTTTAAAACACATAGATTCTTCCCATCATCCTCATCACCTTCTCTCCTCATCTCAGCGTCTCAACTTTAAGCAGTATTGCGCTTTTTCATTAAAAACTGACAGAAGCCAGCTTGACCAATGATTGATCATTATCACGAAATATCAAGGAACCTAAAACAGTTTACATAGCACAGTGAATTCTGAAAATAAAAGTTCTTTGCTTTGTGTGTGAGCGTATGTGTGATTTTGTATGAGTTAGTAAGTGCGCAAGTATGTGTATGCTTGTGTGTATGTCTATGTATGCACGTCAGTGATATATGTGTCTGTATGTATGCGTATGTATGTGCCCATGTATAGTTGGTGTTTATTTATATGTGAAAGCGTATTTTTTAAGTATATGTATGTGTGCGTGTGCACATGTTTATGTGTGTGTTCACGCATGTGCGCAAGCATATGTATATTTATGTGCGTCTGTGTGTGTTCGGGTGTATGAGAATGTGCTTGCGTATCTTCATTTTTCAGCTGTGTGGTGTGAAACTGAAAAGCAAAAAATTCTGATGCTTCAGAAGCAAAAACTTCGAAAAGCAAAAAGTAAAAATTTCGATACATCGGTAGCTTGGTTGTCAGTTGTACTATGTAGCACTATCAACTCAGCCACTGGAACTGAAGCAGTTAACGAAAGGCCTGCTACTGGTAATTCTAACACTCGTCATCTTGCGTTTGTGATATGATAAATGTAAATAAAAAACAGTTACACAAAACAGGATGAAGCACTTTGTTTAATTTGCTGCACATTTCGAAATTTTTGAACTGTATATATTTACGGAGAGCATTACACAGTGGGAAACAGCAGTATTGCCGCGCAGTAGACGGGGGTTCAACTCCATCGGTTGAATAATCAAACCCTCCAGAATTCGTCCATTCGTTTCGATGGTAAATTGGTACGGGCATATGTCAAGAAATCAGACCCGCCATCAGCATGCTTCTAAGGGATCTTATAAAGAAGGAGCCATCTATAAACTTGCGATGGGATAGCTGCTATTGACACTTATTACTGCTAGGGCTGTTTCTCGAATACCTTTACTTCTCATAGAGAGTAAATGAGGAGAGGAATTTTGCGTTTAAATTTTGACCTGCTTACAGTAAGACTGGAAGGGTTAAATGTTTTTATGTGTGGCATGCTTGTTTATTCAGGAGCAAATGGAGCGGGGCCGTGAGTGCTTTGGATCGCTGATAATCATCAGTAGCCGCAGCATTATTTTCCTGAATCATTCGTTTCCAGACCACAAGCCTATTCGATGACAAATCGTGTAAATAGGGGTGGCCCTTTTTTCGAGTTGAAGTTATTGTGTGGCAGTCATACCGAGCGAAAATTTATTCGCAGCTACCCGAACTGCAAGGTTACGAAATTTTATTTTAATCAGAAACTGTGGTTTCTTTCTTTCAACTGCGACTACGGCTAAATGTCCTAGCAATCCTGCGATCTCTCTGTGAAAGTATTTAACAACTAGAAGCAAGTAACAAGTGACGGAGTCCCAGTAACATCGAAATTTTTATAGCTGTAGAGCAAGCAGGAGCACTTAATGATTTCATATCCCCCTCATTCTGGGCTCCTTCATTGTTTTAATTAATACTATCAAAAAACCAAGGCCGCCTATTGCAAATATCCCATATTAGCCGCGTTACTTGAATGCTCGCACACAACTAATGCAGCTATGCGAGACCTTTCGATGCTAGGCTGCATGCTTTCAGTTATTACCCGATATCTGTTTAGATGTGTGTGTTATCTCGTCGGAAGTCTTTCGAGGGGTCTTCTTCCTTTTCGTAGGTAACACTTACTAATGAACAACATCAATCGGTTGTCATCAAGGCAAGCAACATGTCCAGCTTACGTCTTCACATATCCAAAGTGACTCTGTGTTCCGCTCATCTGTTTACGTAGACATAAAAAGGCGCGTCAAGCACCCATCGCTCTCTCCGCCAAGCCAGCGCTCGTTTTTCAACTTTCATCACTTGTTCTTCGAATCCACACAAATAAGATGCATCAGAGAAACTGGAATTAAAGCCATAACAGAAGTAGGGAAGGGATGTCTTTTTTTACGAGGATTCTAGGAACTTAAATCATCCGTATCTGTGGCCACAGCACTTACATATTTCAGGATGTTAGGTTCGGTGCTGCTTTTTTTGCTGATCGTGCTATCAGTAGACGCATCAGTGGTCACAACGGACAACGATGCTTCAGTAATTGCCCGATGCGTCCAAAAAATCGGAAACGTTTCTCGCCCATCTGTTAATCCAAAAGCGTGTCGCGCTTCCAGCAGTGCTGTGTATTGTGAAACACTGTTTGGCCTCGGGAACAAAACGCAAGCAGAAAATATGGACACGTTAGTATTTTAGTGGATTTTTGCACACGCAGATAAATAGTCCATGGAACCAATGGTATTTCAAAGCGAGAGAAGACCTTTTCATTTTTACACCTTTTGACCAAAATGTAAATTGGTGCTCTATTTCTTTGGCAAAATTCTCAAGAATCCGATTGCTTTATCGTGTGCCATTCAATTTACCACTTTTTTTTCACATAGACAATTCGATATATTCCTTGAGTGAATTTCCCTCACCAGCACACAGCCTTGATAATATCACTCACACCAAACTGACTCACTGAAAGTGATAATACTAAATGATTTTCAGGACCCAAAATTACAAAGTGAGCAAACTGTGTTATGATCCAACACTGAGCTCCCTAAGTTCCCGGTGTCGATCGTATTGTAATTTATGCTGCGAGGATCCACGATTCGACTGCGCAAACAGTCAGTTTGTACAATTCCTTCCTTTTAATTTTTACTTTGATCAGTTATCGTCCCAAACAACACTGCCTGGTACCATTAGCAGAGCTGGCAATCTTTATAAAGTCGACAAATGGGAGAACATACGACTAATCGGATGAAAGAAACGGCTGCAAGTATCTGCTAGGGAAATGGGAGCAAAATTGCTATGTTATGAAGAGTTTCATTTCGCCTGTTGGTGCAGACAGCTAAGTTGTACAATCGCATATGACCCGAGAAAATAGAATTTGACCTGGAGCAGTTGGCCAGAAGTAAGTACAGCAGTTTTTTGCATCGCCCGATAATCAGTGATCTTTGCCACCAAATAAAAGTACAAAATTATTAATTTCGGAGGGTTACTGCACAAAAATCATCAGAACAGAGCCTCCAGTGCTGTATGTATGCGTTTTTGCACACATGCAAATGCGAAAGTGCATATTGCAACGACCCCGGTGTCTGTGTGTGTATGTTTGTGTATGTGTGCGAATGTGCGTGTGTCCGGATATTTCAACTCGGCACCCAAGCAAGCTCCTGCGCCAAAATTCCGTGAGATGATTCCTTGGCCACGTGCCACCCCAGGACCTCGGTACCACTCCTCACGCATGTCTAGGCCCCGTGTATGAGCGCGTGAAAATTTTGGCGGGAAAACCGCTAACTTACGAACCATCAAAGCCAGAAAGCTGGAATTTTGAGGTTATGTTCCCCGTCTAAATAGAACTCAAAGATTTCAAATTCAGCCCTGAATTATGCGCGGTTCCCGCGTACGGCTCCATGAGAGTTCCTGGCGGGAAGATCGCTGACCTGGGATCCAGGAAAGCCGGGAAGCTGAAATTTTAAAGGAATATTCCCAGCCTATGTACAACTTAAATTTAGCCTCTGGGCATGCGTGCTTCTCACGTACGGCCGCGTGAAAATAATTGATTGGGGAACCATGGAAGCTGGAACACTGCAACCTTTCAGGGGATGTTCCTACTCATCTACAGCTTAAACTTATCGAATTCAGCTCCAAGTTATACGTGGTTATCACGTGCGGCCGCATGAAAATTTTTGGCGGCAAAATGGCTAACTTGGAAACCAGGGAAGCTGAGAGACTGAAACTTTCAGGGAATGTTCCTAGCTCATGTGGAACTTGAACTTATCAAACTCAGCCCCCGGGTTTGCGTGGTTTGCCACATACGCCCCGTGTTGGGCGGAAATATCAGTAACTCGGGAACTGGGAAAGCTGGGAGCCTGAGATTTTAATAGAATGTTCCCAGCCCATGTACAACTTAAATTTATGAAACTCAGCTCCTCGTTGTGCGTGGTACCCATGCACTGGCTTGCCAAAGTTTTCTTCAAGTAGTTGCTAACTTGAGAATTTGAAAAGCTAGAAGACTGTAATTTTAAGAAGATATTCCCCGCCCACTAAGTCTCATTGAGCTCAGACACAGGCTTCAGGTATGCGTGGTACGGCCCGCCAAAATTTTTTTCTGGAAAGTTGTTAATTCAGGAACCTGAGAAACTAGAGGATTGGGATTTTAAGGGAATGTTTCCCCATTCACGTAGGTATTAATAAACTCAAACCTAGCCCGCAGGTATGAGTCATTCCCACGTATGGCCCTGTAAAAGTTTTTTTTTTCGGATGAGTTGCTAACTGGAAAACCTGAGAAGCTAGAAGACCAAAATTTTGAAGGGATGTTCCCTGACAGTCCTGGCAGCTAGTCTTAAATTCTTTTAGCTAGAAGCATTTGCCGAAAAAACAGTGCCATTAGCGACAAAAATCTGCGGGGAACTATGCAAAAAAAAAACGCAGCTTCGCACGAGCAGCCCATGCATTGGCCAGTTATTTAGCATGCAGTGTTTCAGCATCGCATCTTGTCCGATAAGCGAAATAGCCACTGCGCTACAAATGTATTTGAAGTTCTCTAAATCGTGATTAAAGCACAAATCGAAACATTCATTTTCTGATTGGAAATGATATTTGCTATGATATAACTCATTGAATCGGCTGTCACAGAGTACAAATTTCACAGTACTGTCGATGTCCGCAAGATATCAGACTGAAAAGAACATAATAATCTAGCATCACTGTGGTGGAAGCAGCAACATATGGATCCGAAATGTGGTTACTAAAGAAAGCAGAACAAAAGTTTGTGGCGTGCGGTATTTATCCCACTACCAATATCTCTCGGAATTCCGGAAGTGGCAGTTAATTCATAAGCTGCTTCTCCCAAGTAGTTGGCTCATTTTCGAGTTGCTTTGACTACCGGTCAGTCTGCCAGTGATCCTGACATTCGTTCCGTCGCATGAAAGGATTAACGTTTTTCGCGACGTTTTTCACCCCAGCTTAACGTTTTTCACAGTAAAAACACTTAACAAGGTTTTAGCTGTTTCAAGATGTTCTTTACATATAAAAACGTGATACCGATAGTTATCAAATAATACTAATTTAAAGTTAAGTATAGTAGTAACAGAAGAGGA